TGTGGCCCTACTTGCCACACTAGTGGAACCCGCTACCCGATCGGAAAACCCCAAAATAAGCCTTCCTATACTTCCCATAAGTGCGGTCGGGCTGACCTCCAGACCTAGAATCAACGGTCTTGGAACGCTTCGGCGCCGACTGCAATTGCGTCGGGGCCAATCTCTGCTCTCTCAACTGTAGCTCAATCTATATCTCACGCCGCCTAGCGGCCTCTTGTAACTCCAACAAGGTATCACACTGTTGGGTAGCAACGAACATCATGATGTCAGTCTTCAACATGCTTAGATAACGAGTCAACTGAGCCTGCTCAGATGTAAACTCCAGGAAAAACATCGCCCTCTCAGTGAACATGCGGGTGATCTCCGTCACCGTCTCTGTACCCTGTCACAGATCAAAGAACTCCTGTGACAGCCACTCCCGCTCAACCCACAGAATGTAGCGAGCGCAGAACATCTCCCTTCCTGAACTGATCCCAAGTGCCTGCTGCTCGCTGCTCATCAGAATACGACCCCGCCATCAATCTCCACCAGTCCTTTGCTTTGGACCTTAGCAGGTTTAGAGCACGTCTGACCTTATGGTCAGTAAGACATGAGCAAGTGAAGAAACATCCCTCCACGTTAGACAACCACCTCATGGCTATGATCGGGTCTGAGTCCCATTGAAAGTAGGGGGCTTCGTGTTATCGAAGTCCCGATACTGAAAACTCCAACCTGTCTCCGTACCTGCAGCCTTCATAATTGTGGAGGCTGCAACAGCCACAGTATCAACAATGGTTGTGTGTCTGTCATCAAAAATACTCCATCCATACTATTCAGTCAAGGCCCAAGCTTTATTAGCCCATAGACAGCCCAATCAAGTAAGGCCCAAAATAAAAAACCCAACAGAGGAAGTATGCTGCGTGTACCCCTCTTGGTATGCTGGGCGTACATCCATGCTCGCGGACAGGAATCAGGACACATACCCACTACGCTGGGCGTACTATCATATACGCGGGGCGTAACTTCGTTGATCAACAAATCCATATAAGTTCTTAATGGCTTAAGCTCTTAAGCCCAAACTTCAGATCCATAGGCCAAATATGTCTAGGATTCATAAAGTCTCAAACTTTATTACCTGGGATGTCCATAAAGCTCTTAATCCAAGGTCTTAATCCATTAAGACCTACTTATATCACATATGAGACAACCAAAGCCCTTGGGACCTCATTTTTCTTACTCAAGACCTTTCCTAAGGTCTGAAAGGACAACTAATCTCGACCAAATCGAATCATGCATCAAGATGAGGTTTTTGGGACAAGAATGATGTCAAAACTTCACAACACATAGATCTACACAATATGATTGTCAAGCTAGAGCAGTGGCGGAGCCAGGATCAAAGTAAAGGGGTATCCTAATTTTTTTTAGAGTAACCTAATTTTTTTCCTGGGGTACTTGGGTTTCCCGGGTTCGGGTTCGGTTTTAAACCCAAATCCTAATCGAATCCTTAGCTAACCTCAAGTCTTGTTATATAAACATGAAGTTGAAGTATATTTTGATACTTGAATCGATATGGGACTCAAAGTAGATATCAAATAAAGCATGAGCATAACAGGTTTATATAATAGAAAAAAATGGTTGAGTTTACATGTGTTTAGCGATGTGGGATAGAATAGTTGGGAAAATAAAACAAAAATAAACAAAGAATATGTAAGAAGCGAGAATAGAACTCAAGACCTTTGCTTGAATAAGCCAAAGCCTTAACCAGCAGACCAACTGTTTGTTTATGTTTATAAGTGGATGGATGCGTATATATACATTATACCGAATTTTTTTTGAGGGATACGTAAACAAAAATTACACTACCGAAAAAATTTTGAGGGGTATCCCGGGCTACCCCGGGATCCCCTTGGATCCGCCCCTGAGCTAGAGACTTTTTTACCTCAAAAGGGCTCTAGAAGATGATCCCTTTCCAGATCTACGAGCTCCAACCACCCCACTCCTTCTTCGACAACTTCCTCTTTCTTCTTCCTGGCTCTCCTTTGCCAAAACAAGCTTTCTAAGGTCAAACACACCCAACAATGGAGGTGGAACGGCTATCTAGGGCTTCTGAGGATGAGAGAGTGTTTATGGAGGCTAGGGTGAGAACCATTATGTTCCTTATATAGTGGTTGGCCCTAAATTTAGGGTTTCTGAATGATAGACGTACGCTGGACGTACATCGAGAGACCCCCGCGTTCCTTTCCTTTATTACGTCGGGCGTACGTCCAGCTTACGTTGGGCGTACCCAGCCAAACACATGCATGCATGGGACCCCTTTGCTAAACTTCCCCCTTAGGGACCATTGCTGCCAATATCTTTAATTTACAACATTTCCTCCATTATAAGTCCGTTCTCGTCAACTCTATATCCACATTAAGGACCGAAACGCCCTTACTCTTGATCTCGAGAACCCATAAATAGATATTTCAAGAACGGGGTGTTACACCTACCATTCTGGGTAGCCTTTGATCTCATATGATCTTGGTTTCAAGTGCCCTTCTTCTTCACAATGAGCACATACGAGATTTGAGTTTTTGTTGTTCAGGTTTTTTCCTTTCACAGGTTGGCTTCGAGTTACAAGGTTGACCATACTATCCGATTCGTGTTTGCCTTCGTCCATGGCAGATCTCTGGCTTTGATCCTTTCGTACGAATGCATAACATGCTTCAAGATCAAGTGGTGGGTCTTTCCTCAGTATCTAACCCCTTGGTTGATTGAATTCCATATCAAGGCCTGCTAGAAAAATATGCACACAAAGACACCCTAGTACTTTGTTTAGGGATACTACCTAAGTTACATTATATTCTTTGACCATCAACCGTGTATCAATCTCCTGGAAGATACTAATAATTTCATTATAGTACGCGACAAGGGGTCGGCCATTCTGTCGGGTGCTAAATGATCTTCGGTTTAGTTCAAACAAGGGTCTCGTCAATCCCAGCATAAAAGGTCTTCGCAACTACATCCCATATCTCCTTTGCAGGCTTCAATCAAATGAACCTTGGAATCAACATGGGGTTCATTGAGTCGATGAGCCAGCTCTTGACTTTGTTATTGTTCGTGAGCCAGTTCTTGATTTGTTTTTCGCTAGTCTCGGTTTCTTGGAGGATCCGGTGAGGAACTCTTGTTTGTTACATGTCGCTATTCGCATTTCCATGAACTGTGACAACAATTGATAGTTCGAGTCATCCAAGATAATCCCTGTTAGGAACGGAGCATTTTGGACGATCAATCGGGTTTCTGAGGTATGGGTTTCTTTGTCGGATAAGGTGTTTTCAGGGTTTCGAGTACAACGGATTAGGGAGTTTCTATGCGGTATGCTCCGATACCATGTAACAGAGAATTCCAATCGGAATGTATGATTCGTATATTATTCACCAATACAACGAGATGCATATATAGGACTACATTCAACAAAAAACCCACGAAATAAGGAGCTATACAAGAATGGATATAACTAATAAATACACATAATACTTTCTATGGTTATCCGATCTTCTCAATAATATCCATAGTTACTTTGTCTCCTCCGATATTAGCTATCGTCAACAGAACCAGAGAACTCTTCTACTACTAGACCATAATTATATTGGAATCCTTAACCTACTTCAACCGCTTATCCATTCTAATTGCCATTGGAGTTTCATCACTTTGTAAAATCCAAGTAATATTTTAACATCACGTGCCCAATCAATCTTCTTTACACATATAGCAATGACAAAATACAAGATATAAGTTGAATCAATGTTTTGCTAAATGGATTTTTGTAATTGTTTATAAAATAAAGGTAAGATAAAAGCATGTGTTAATATGAACCTATTTCAACCAACGAAACGTCTCTTATTTTCTTATACTTATAGTATAACTCACCCAAATTTATCAAGAGAAGAGAATAACCAGATACATAAAAGAATCAAAGATACTAGCTATCATCTGGGAATGCTTATTTAAATGCTTGCATTAATCAAAATCATAAGAAATCAAAGTACATTGAAGGTCATTAGACTGGAATCCAAATTAACAAACAGAAATCAAACATATAAATCCAAATAGGAATATAAATCGATACGGGCAATCCTTCTTCTCCGAATCGAACATAAAAATTACTCCTCTTCTTCACCACCACCCTCTTCCTCATAGTCCTGCTCTTCCTCAGCTGTTGCATCCTGATACTGTTGATACTCCGCCACCAAATCATTCATGTTACTTTCTGCCTCTGTAAACTCCATTTCATCCATTCCCTCTCCTGTATACCAATGCAAGAAAGCCTTGCGCCTAAACATGGCAGTAAACTGCTCACTCACTCGTTTAAACATCTCTTGAATTGAAGTCGAGTTTCCAACAAAAGTCGAAGACATTTTCAGCCCAGTTGGAGGAATATCACAAACGCTAGATTTCACATTATTTGGAATCCACTCAACGAAATACGACGAGTTCTTGTTTTGAACATTGATCATTTGTTCGTCTACTTCCTTGGTACTCATCTTGCCCCTGAACATGGCAGATGCCGTCAGGTATCGGCCATGTCTTGGGTCTGCTGCACACATCATGTTCTTAGCATCCCACATCTGCTGAGTCAACTCTGGGACGCTAAGAGAGATGTATTGCTGGGATCCACGAGAAGTTAAGGGTGCGAACCCCACCATGAAGAAATGGAGACGTGGGAATGGGATTAGGTTAACTGCTAGCTTACGAAGGTCAGAATTCAATTGACCGGGGAATCGCAAGCAACATGTTACACCACTCATGGTTGCCGAGATCAAATGGTTCAAATCACCAACTATAATATAGAAAATTCATCAATCCTTAAACTTCACATCAAAATATTAAACCATGCGTGTTAAACATAAAGATGAGATGAATTGTACTTACAACTTGGTGTGGTGAGCTTCAAAGTCCTGAAGCAAATGTCATAAAGAGCCTCATTGTCGAGGACCATGCATTCATCAGCATTCTCGACCAATTGGTGCACTGAAAGTGTCGCATTGTAGGGTTCAACAACAGTGTCGGATACCTTTGGTGAAGGGAAAACTGAGAATGTGAGCATCATCCTGTCTGGGTATTCCTCTCGAATCTTGGAGATCAAGAGTGTCCCCATACCAGAACCTGTTCCACCTCCAAGCGAGTGACATACCTGAAAGCCTGTCACAATATAGCACACATGCATCAAGGGTAGAGATCATATCAACAAGGCGTTTTGTATGAAGGTCATTGTAAGGTCAGAGATCAACCGATTGTTACCTATATCTAAACAGGGATCTCAAAAATATGATTCATGGATGTATAAACGTTCAGGTTTACATGTACCTTGCAACGCATCGCAATTCTCAGCCTCCTTGCGAACGACATCAAGCACAGAATCAATCAACTCAGCGCCTTCTGTATAATGTCCCTTGGCCCAGTTATTACCGGCGCCGGACTGGCCAAACACGAAGTTATCAGGCCTGAAGATCTGGCCGTAGGGACCAGATCTGATGCTGTCCATGGTGCCAGGCTCGAGATCCATAAGCACAGCACGGGGAACATAACGGCCGCCGGAGGCTTCATTGTAGTAAACGTTGATACGCTCAAGCTGGAGATCGGCGGTGGTACCATTGTATTGGCCGGAGGGATCAATACCATGTTCGTCGCAGATGACCTCCCAAAACTTTGCACCGATTTGGTTGCCGCATTGGCCTCCTTGTATGTTTAAGATTTCTCTCATTTTCGGGATGATGAAGGGATTGCAATGGATCCAAAGAGGGAAGATGGAGAATATTTGAAGTGAAAGGAAGAGGTCATAATGTCATAATATTATTAGCGGGAGGAAGTTAAGGGCTAACGTTGGTATCGCGGGTTCACGGAGGTGGTTGTGGTCGTCGGTTATTTGTTCAGTTTTTTTCTCAACCGCCGCCTTTCCATTTTTGTTGGTCGCTAAATGCTTGTTTTTAATTTATTTTTTTTAATTTTATTTTCATATAATAGAGAACAATTGATTAAAAAAAGATGACTTTTATTTATTTATTTAGAAGAAAATGGATTAATTCGGATGCTAATTTGTTATATAAATTGAACGGAAGTATATTCAAATGCGTATAACGTTATATAAATTGTTTTATTCCATGGAAATTTGAATTTTATTTTTATAAATATTGTTTTTAATTATATCTAATTCATAAACTAATTATTTTTTTTTCCAATCCAAGAAAATTACTCCTTACTTCCTTTCAATATATATCCCAAGATAAAAGTTTTATATAAATGTAGTAGGTAAACGACCAATAAATTGTGTCGCAACCATTTTTGGATGACAAAATAATTCTTTTAAAAACAACATTCATATATCTTAGGATCATAACATTATCATACATGACTCGTTGGACTCTATTGATATTGAAGAGCTCCACAACATCTAGCACAAAGAAACCAAAAGTATAAATGCAAAAGGTATATATAAACGTTTGCTGATTGTTCATGCATGTCTTTTCATGATTTGTCACTTTGAATTATGCAGCTTTTAAAGCAGTTGTCTCATAGTGAAAAACCCCACTCCTTATAATATCCATAAAAATTCATAAAATTTAAACTTTCAAAACAACCATTTTTCTAAAGAAGTGTTTACAAAAACCAATGTTTCCAAAACATTATTTATAAATCAGAATCACTTTCAACATAGTTTTCAAAACATTCACATTACCAAAGTTTCTTAGAAATCATAAGTCCAAAACACGAGAATGTGTACAGTCATGCATTCACCTTGACACAATCCACTGAAGTACATAAAACCATAAACCAAAACTGTAAGCACGAAGCATAGTGAGTTCCCCCAAAGTACCAATACTTAGGGTTGTAAAGGAATTGAATGCTCATCGAACTGTTCGTGAACCGTTCGGTAGGAAGTTCATTTATGTTCGTTTATTTAATAAATGAACAAACATGAATACAAATTCTCGTTCATTTAGCTAAACGAAAGAACATGAACAATAGTCTCGTTCATTCGATTACGTTCGTGAACGTTCGTTTATGTTTGTTTATGTTCGTTTATATAAGTTCCTTTTATGTTATATATGTTTAATTGTGATTGATTACATTATTACATTATATGTTCATTTATGTTCATATATGTTGAATTATGTTTGTTTATCTTTTTTCATTTATGTTCGGTTTCCATTTGCATTCCCGACTTCACTGCGGGTTCTTTCCATTTTGATCTATACACCGAATAAGGTGAATTTAGATCTTTGTTTTGGATAGACGTTTAAATCATCCTTATCTCTCCGAAAATTTTATATGCTAGTTCTAATATCGTAGTCGTACGTTTAGAATCCTAAACACATAAAGTTTCCACATCCGGTTGGCAACAGACCATAGATCTGAACAAATAATAGCATGTAGCACATAAAATCATTTTAGGCATCTTTCCTAAAATAAACTAGTGCTTGTGTCTAAAATATACTAGACACTCATCTCACAATCATCGCTTAGCATTCTAAGTTTAAGTCTAGAAATCCTGCAAATTCCTAGTTCGCTTAAAAATGTTCTGATACCAACTGTGACATCCTCATTTCCACGGGCAGAAAATACCAATTTTGTTTATGCTTTATAAAAAAATCAGAGTACTTCTTTTAATAAAAATGTTGCGGAATTTATTCCCAAAATAAAATATGATAAAGATTTATCAAAGCATTTCCGAAGAAATGTATTTCATTAAAAACCTCAGGATGTCATGTTCGATATAGATCAAAAGCATAAACAGTACAATGTAACACTTACTACATTATTTCATATTTACAGACCTACAATCCCTTATCTCTCATCCAAACATCTATGCCCATGCACCACTACCTGTAATAGAAGAAACTGAGTGCGTCGGACTTGGGAGCCTGGTGAGCACATAGGGTTTTCAACCCTTAATAAATAAGTTTATTAACTTTATCAAACCAAACAAGCCCGAATACCCGTTTCCATTTTCCTCACTTTACATCCCTAAAGCATCTAACACAAGGTACCTAGTTTAAGGACTTTCATCAGGATGACAACACATGCTTCAGGGATTCCTCAGCAAATTTGATGTCAAATAAGGCAACCATGTGGGGGATGGAGTACTGCTGGTGAGCATACAGTTCAAATAAACACTTACAGGTTGCGAGCCTGCTAGTGTTCCACTGGACTATCTAGAATAATCTGTGATCGTCATCTATACTCCGCTAGATGACTTGATCATCAATAACATCGATAACGACGCCTATAATTATTTTATTTTGTCACACAACAACTATTACATCTACCCATGTTTTACCCAACACATTTTGTAGATATAAAATACATATATACAGTTTAAATCATTTAAAACGTGTATAAAAATCTTTCACCCAACATAGACAACACGTATTCAGACAATATGCACACATAGCACATAATTTATATTAAAATACTTCATATCTATGTGTAAGATGAAAGAGACTATGCACTCACAACTTGTAATTTATATTAAATACTTCATATCTATGTGTAAGATGAAAGTAACTATGCACTGACCTATTAAGGTGGTGATTCCGAACTTAGACAGTGCTTCGTTACTCTTGAACAATTTCCTTCGGCAAAACCTAGTATCATTACCACTAGGGTTTAGGCTAATATTCATTGAGACTAATTGATAGTCTAGCTATTATTACTATTATATAAGCGTTATATAATACTTATATAGCTCATAAATGATGGGTTTTAGTCATAAGAACATCCTATGTGCTCATACAAACCCTAATGCTTGGATCTAAGTTTCTCTATTGTACATGCAAGTTATCCAAGACTATAAACCCTAATTCTAGCATATGGAAATCGATATTAACATAATAATGGGTTTAAGATATTACCTTTATTGTTATGTATCAATAACAATCACAATTCCTTCTTGTAATGACTTTAGAAAGCTTAGAGTCACAAGTGTCACTCCTCGAATGGTTCACAAACACCAAGAGCAAGAGGATGAAGAGGAGAAGAGAAGGAGGCTGCCCGTGTGGAAACCCTAGAAGGAAGCTTGTCCACGTTTTTGAGGCATAAGGGTTCTATATATAGTGAGGCTATTAGGGTTATCTAACAAGGAAACCCTAATTTGGATGCTTAAGCCCTAAGCAACCCATGGACTCCTTTCCTTAAAGCCTTGGACGATTTCTAATGGGTTTCCCCATAGAATTCGTCCAACCTTATAATATAAAGTTATCCATAGCCCAATTGCAATTATCTTATAATTACAATTCTAGTCCCTTAAGTTTAATTAATCTCTTTTAGCCACAAACTTAATTCTTATTAATTCTTGAATAATATTAATTAAACAATATGATTTCTCCTTTAATATATTATTCTCATAATATATTAATAAATCATATTTAATCCTTTCTCTCCATAATTCATCCTATCAAGTTGCTTTGGTGAAGGCAACCCAAAAGGGCCATGCACCATCGGGTCAAGTACATACCAAAATAGTTATGGACTTAGACACTAATCCAACAATAATAATAACCCAAATAATTACCATAAGGTCCTAATAACGTTACTATAATTAATTAAAAGCTATATTAAAAATAGCGTAGGAGTAGCTCACTTACAGGGGATTTTATAGAAAACTAGGCTTCCTTGGAGCAGTGTTTCCAAACCGAAAGACCCTTTTTCTCGGGACTTCGGGAGTCTCGAGGCTTCCTTCGGATGTTAGGGGGTCTACCTAGGCTTAGGGTATGGTCAGGGATAGTAGAGAGAGAAAGTAGTGAGAGAGAGAAGTGATTTTGGTGCATGGAACTCGACAGCCCTCGCAAGGTATTTGTTGGAGCCAGGCTCGGACGTACGATGGGCGTAGTCCTCGGCTACGCTGGGTGTAAGCTCGCTTCGTACAACATGTGTCGCTTCACTGCTGGGACATCGTGGACATCTCGGAACCGCGCAACCGAAGACCGTTGGGCGTAATCCTCTTCCGACGTGGGGCGTACACGGACGTTGGGCGATCCTTTCGTACGCGAGGCATAGCGAGGTCAGGTGTCCGAATCTAACGGCCAGACCGTGATCAGCAAGCAACGGCCGAGATGCGGCCACGTCATCATCCCCTCGCAGATTTGCAATTTCACACTCCGACTTCAAAATTTTGTAACTTTCGCATATGAGCTCTGCTTTCGACGTTATTTATATCCACACGTAGGCGGGAATGTACTCTACAACTTTCGTTCAGACTTCGTTGGCTAATTTTGAATTTATTTTTAAAGTTATATTTTTTTAATAGATCGGGATAGGATTGGTCTGTTAAAATTGATAACTTATTCATCCGACGTCCGTTTTCGTTTGTATTTATATCGTTAGGCTACTATTAACAGGATCTTTGATTCTCATTTAGGTTGTGTCGGCTAAATACGACTCATTCTAATATTCGAACTCCAGGCTGTGTACTGTCGATATGAAACTCTGAAAAATCATAACTTCCTCATACGAAGTCATATTTGGGCATTCTTTTTATGGACGCTCTCAGTTTAACGTATTCTACGACTCTCGTTTAGATTAATAAGTCTAAAAATTTCTCTATCGCAAATTCATGATTTACGCTTCCTGGTGTCGTGCCGGTTTTACCATAAAACTTCGACAAGTCATAACTTCTTCGTTATAACTCGGATTCCGGCGTTCTTTATATCTCCAGAATCCTTGTTTCGACCACTACAAATTTATGTAAAGATATCGGACTTATCTCGAACTTTAATTTTGACGCTTATTTTTATCCTTTATTTATTATACATTTATAAATAAGTAATAAGCACATAAATGCACATAATTCACATAATACTCAAATATTTCAACTTTATTACTTCAAAAAGAGTTACATTAGTTGACCTACACTATTACATCATCTACTACTTTTTGGCTCCAAAACACGGGCATTACATCTGTTGCCAGTTTTTGTGAAAAACAAACTTATATTTCGTATCAAAACCTTAATATAAGGTTGTATGATCGGTTCTTGGCCGGAAATTGAAGAAAAACCCACCACCACCACCACCATGAGGTGGGGGCTGCCACGATCTTGGTGGATGTATTGGGCACTTTTCCTTTCTCTTTTGGTGTGTGTGTGTGCGTGTGTGTGATGTAGGAATTTTTATGTGTGCTTAGATTGTTGGAATTATCACTTGAAACCCCCGCCGTCGTTGTGTGTGGGTGGTTACCACCTCGGATCGCCGCCGACCACCATTGCCCAAGGTGGCATTGGGTGGTGCCCGACTTATTAAACATTGAATTACCTAAATAGTTATTTTTAGTCCGAGTGGCACGAGTTTCGGGTTGGAAACCCTAATTAGGGTTTAGAAAATCCTAATGTCAAGAAAAACCCTAGTTTTGGAGTTGGTCGGGACCCGCGTTAAAGTTGTTAATTAAACTTTAAATAATACTTAATAACGCCCTACAATTAACTTAATGCAATATTAGACTTAATGGATTAAGTCCTTAAGGGGTTAAGTGTGGAACACCAACCCTAGTTATCATTTTATGTGAAAAACCCTAGAATCGGGAAGCTGTATTTTGGACAATTATCGGATGCGTAATTAGGCTATTGATTGGATTATTATTATCATATCCGAGAATGACTAAGTCAAACCTTAATCAGTCCTACATTTAGGTGATTAGGTTCTAAATGGGTTAAGTGTTCTTACGTAACCCTAATCGTCATTTTATGTGAGACCCTAATCGTCATTTCATGTGAGGTAGTCACTGTTGCAAGTGATTATAACCTGTGATCGACTATTAGCTCAAGTGTCTTCTTGTAGGTGATTAGTAGTGAGTTAAAGCTGGTAGAGTTCTTCGTTGTTGTTGTGGGTATGTACATGCATATTGAGGTGGGTTTTGCCTCACTGTACAGTGGGTCAAAGGCACAAAT